AGAACGAGGAATGAGAGTCAAAGACCGTGTGAAAATGCTGCCGGAAACGCTTGCTACGCAGACTAGGGGTGACTAGAGGAGAGAAAACTACTCGCCCCAATGTCCCCTGGTATCCCCCCTCGTTTTCCCTGCGTAGGATTTAACTCGCTCCCCACTATCTGAATGCCTGCAATAGCCTAGCTCCGGGGTAATAGGCAGTCCTGATAGAGTTAGACTTTAAAACAAGGGCAAGGACAAAGAGATCATTAAGAAAAAGGTTGCGCAGTTGTCAGAATTTGGCGTCCGCGAGTAATGCTTTATTCCTCTATTACTTTTCTTCTTAAGTTTTACTAATATAAACGAATGGATTTGGAAGAAATGAATCGTTCTGCGCATTGAGTAACGGTAAACAGTAGAGGGCCAAGAATTAAGCCTTGCGAGTACTGATGACAGAAAACAAGAGACAAAGTTTTAGTCCTGCTGATACAGGAGAGGGTTTATCATTATTTTTTCAGACATGGGAGTAGTAAAGGTAATAAAAAAATCAAGTTGTCATGCTCTTAAAAAAGAGCATGACAAAGTGGCATTAAAATGCCACTTTGAGTTTTTTTTTACCCAAGTGGCAATTGATAAAGCAGAACACCTTCCTGTCCCTTCTGATATCACTCCCTTCTCTTCCACACCCACAATAGCAGCTAGACCTCACAAACGGGACTGGGTTCCAATCGCCATTTGCACATCTCCCGTAATACACCTTGTTTGCCCTCCCAAACATTCTGTATATGCAATGTCTTGAATTTCTCTTAGGACGACTGTAACACTCACAAGAAATTAAAAAATTTGGGGGGTGCAAACAAGGTGTATTACAAGAGATGTGCAAATGGAGAATGCTGTTTGCGGAAAGCAGAGTCTGCAATCCTGGACAAAAGTCCTTGGGACAGTAAGAGCATAACAGCAGTTCTATGTGTATCACAAGTACTGTTCTAAAAGGTAGTGCTATCATTTAAAAAACCCATAACCCCTAACCCTTCCGCACTAAATACAATGTTGAAAGGTCAAAGAAATTGTGCCTTGACGGTTTCAACACTGTCCGTGGGGTGGGGACGTGCAGGGCAAGTAGCCCGCGGATATAAATTTAGCGTGTGTTAAAAAGCGTTCGAACTGTACAACTGTCCCAAGACTTTAGTCCATGATTGTAGCTTGCAGCCAAAGCTAATGCGAGGTAATAAGATGTCTGAGCCTCTATTGCAAGCTAGTTCCAGTCCATTGCCGCTATTAAGAATGAGCAAGTGTAAGATTCAAGCCCAACGCCTCAGCATCGCTGGCTCATGGCTGAGAACATCTGAGCTGAAGCGAAGATTTTTTGTGCACACCAAGCAGCATGTCATTCCTTGTCCCGGATTGATGGTCCAACAGTGTTTGAACCCGATTAACAATCACGTGATATAGAACTGTGCTGTGAGAGTAGCGCGCGGTTCTCGTTCTGTCCTCCCTTTGCCCCTGTTACCCGTATGAAGACGGATAATCCATCTTCAAAATCTGTCAACAATTGACGAATAAACATATGGACAAAGTCAGGCGGATTGTTCATCCAAAATTAAAACCGTTCCATTTTCAAATTAAGACGTATTATCTGTATGACGCGAATTATCCAATGGATAACCCTCCTCAGACTTATAATCCGTCTCTAGTGTGAACACGGCCAATAACTGTGCTCTTTACAGGACTTTAGCGAGTATTTGTTTGTGACTATTTTAAGGCACTTCAGGGTGTTAACGAACATTAAATGAACAACGACCCCAAAAGGACATATTGCAGAAAAACCAAGGTACATGTAGCCACTAAAAACCTCACACGGTAAATACGCCACTCTCCTATTCTATTTGATGGTCTGGAATTAGCAAAAAATCGGGGCTCATACAGGAGTTGAAGAGGAGAATGCCCCCCTGACGCATGTTCCTCGACTACTAGCTAGTTCTTGATCGCTCCTGAGAATACGAATATAATTTGGATTACGCCTAATCCAAACGTCTAAAATTTCATGAGACGAACCAAACTCTATTTTGGGTCGAGCTAAAATAAGTTAAGATCGTCTGTTGGGCCGAACGTCGAACTAAGGAGGCGTCAAACAGATCAAAACGCAACTTAATAACTTTTCTCCCAAACGAGGCTAAATATACATTATCATACAACTTTTTCATTTATTAGTTTAGCTCGTTGCGTGTGAAGGTCGAAGGATCTCCCGGAGACGATCTTCACACCTTCTATCCGTCTGAAGCAGACGTATACGTGTTGGACGATCCAAATTCATTCAGACAAGCTTAACTGAACCAGACGTCGAACTTTTCATGAACTTAACTCACTAAGTTTGTTTCGTCTCATGAAAAGTTCGACGTTTGGCCTAGGCCTTACAAAAAAGAATTTAATACTAGACATTTTTACTTTACAAAACTTTATTTTGTTGAGTTTTAATAAAATGAAACTCAGTACATTATACTAAAAACCAAATTTGGCGCATTTGATGCTAAAGGTAGTTTGCAATGTTCTGTCTTGCTTGTTTGTAATAAATGTTCATTGCTGATTAACATATAAAGATCGCTCTTGGCTAAACGCCAACTAAACTAAACCATGGTGAAATACAGTTTAAATATTTTAATATAAACTAAATCATAATTTCTTTTCTTTATATTTGTCACTATCATACAAACTCTATTGAGATATAGGAATACTATACCAATCGTTAGTTTCAATATTTAACTATCCCTAAAACTACGAGGAACTCATGCTGTATTAACCTTGATCACACTGGATCAGAGGGTGCACAAGTCACAATTTTAAGTTACAATATCTATCAAACTATAAAACTACTAGTAACTCGTGTTGTATTAACCTTGATCACACTGGATCAGATGGCGTACAAGTCACAATCATAAGTTACAATATTTATCAAACTCTAAAACTACTAGTAACTCATGTTGTATTAACCTTGGCCTCACTGGACCAGAAGGCGTACAACTCCACTTGAGTGCAAATGTATTTACGACGAAAGTACTAATTGTGGACACTATTTTTACGTCTCCTACTGGAGACAGGACCGCCACTTTACGTGGTCATCCGAGCCACGGGAAGGTTCAGCCGCTTGAAGCGCAAATAGAGCACCTTCATTTTTCAGTTATTTTTAAAAGACCCTGAGTAATGGTCCAGCCACGGGAATCGAACCTGCGCCCCCCGCTCTGCAGTCATGCGCTCTACCAACTGAGCTAATCCCACCTGTTCAGTCTGAGACTCAAAACAATGTAAAATTTCAAAATATGTCCACAGAAATACTCCTTTACAGCACCGACGAGTGTCAGCCGCTTGATGCTCTCAAATCAAACACTACACTGTAGTTTTATCTCATCCCTCTATAGACCGTTCATATGAAGAAAAGTTGTCCCGAAAAAGAGGGTCACCCTCCAGCTGAGTCAAAGGGAAAAATAGTTGACCCCTCTGCCCGAGCCAACTGTACTCGCACATGCTCAGATTCTCTCGCCTTAACTAGGTTGACCCAGCTGGGCGAGCCAAAGTGTTTGTATGGAGGAACGTTGGATCAGCGAGGACGGTGACTCTACCTTCACAAAAGGGTGAACCGGTGGCTAGGCGGGTCACCCTTCTAGCAAAGCCAACTTTTTTTCACATTTACAAGGCTCGCCACGTTTTTTAACCCTTTAAACAATAAGATCAACATTTGAATTCTCATTAGTTGCCCCTAGTCATTTCCTAGAGAAGTAGTGGGGAGAAGTTGATAAAATATCAACCAAATTCATCTTGTGTGATCATGTCCGTAATTCTCATGACCACTCTGTTTTAAAAAGCCATTGATATTACAAGGAGAAATGAGATGCTGATCACTCTTAGGGCTTAAAGGGTTAAGGGAACGTGGGTAGCTCGGGTAGCCGGCAGATTGACCCTTCTACCCAGTACAACTTTTCTCCATATAAATGGACCTAAAAAAGCTGAAACAGATTCACGAAGAATGGGATTGTGTTACATCGTGCAGCAAGGTAAATTGAATGGACCATGGAAGACTTTACGAGACTGAGCAACAGAGTGCAATTTTCAACTAGGTTATGTCGAAACTACGCTGTATAAAACTTGCACTGTCGGTTTTCGTAAACGATTTTTTTAATGCGTGCGTCCGAATCGGCCTTCGAAAGCTAAATCTCAAAGCGATTTGTTTTTAACTAATTTGACTTGTTCCAGTCTTTCGAAAGTCAAAGCGCTAAAAACGAGGTTTGGCCATGATTTTCAACTGCACGCGAGACACCCATGAAGGTACCTGGTAACCTTAACGCTATACAGAGTAGTGTGAACATAACAGACTTCAGGCTGGGCTTCCACAATAAAAAATAGCCTACATTACTTGCACATGAGACACCCGTGAAGGTATCTGGTAACTTTAACGCTATACAGAGTAGTGTGAACATAACAGACTTCAGGCTGAGCTTCCACAGGAAACAAATCCCAATATCAAAGGAAACGTGTGTAATAATGTGAATTGAAACAGAATGATTTTCTGTGACCTTCAAATGATCACGCGTGGCCGTAATTTAAGGCAGCAATTAGATTAATTTAGCTGGATTTGTGACGAACTTTTTAATGAATGATAACTTAACGAAAGCGATATAGCGATCGGAGAACTATATTGAAACTAGAATGGTTACGAAACATTTCAGCGGGACCGAAGGAAAGTCGTTTTAATTTGCAAACAGAGAAAACGTAAAATCGGTCCAAACTTGAAACATATATTTGTAGATGGACCATTTTGCATTTTTAATTAGAATCTTTACTTTTAAGGGTCGGTTATCACGATGACTTCAAGATTAACGAAAATAATAATGAAAAATTAAACCACATTTCTATTTTAGATCACATTTCATTTGATACTGACATATGTTCCTGGGGACTGGAAAGCACATAAATCTTAGCTGTATTCTGCTAATGAATTAAACCTTATCGCACCCACTCTCTTTTCCATAGAAACTTAGATCGAGTTCAATTAAGGATAATGATCTGCTTTCTATTAAAAGATTTCTAAAGGCATATAGACGACCTTTACCTGTAGCACAAAGGTTGTTCACTTTTAATCTTAGAGTAGTTAATGCGGTGTTTTTCTTCAAGGTGTTGGAAAGGACTGCTAACCAGACATCCCTTACTTCTCGGCTACTGTTGAGTGCCAGATTGAATGTGGTAACTGATGTGTTACTTGCCAAACCTTCAAACAGTCTAGACTTGCATAAAACCTCCGAAATACGCGATTTTCCATCACCACACTCATTTATTGTGACATTTAACGTAGTTATTGACGTGTTCCCTGACAGTCCATGATCGAAACTGGTCAGCCAAATAATATCATCTTTTTCATCCCCTGCCAAAGTTACTGTTAGTGTCAGTGTAGTTACTGACGAGTTTAATGACAGACCTTGATTAAGACTATCCAACATAATTTCAAAATAACTATTAGTGGGGCCGTTAATAAACATTGCGATACATAATGTATTTAATGAGCTTGTTGTCACCAAGCCGTTACAAAGGCCACGAAAACCGCAATGAAAGTCTGATTTAATCCAGTTCAATGTGAGACTAAGTTTCTTAAGTGACGTGCATTTTATCAAACAGTCACCTACAACCTTATCCCAAAATGAACACATGCCATCACGATGGATTGCAACAGAAAGGGTAGATAATGATTTGATTGCCGCCAGCACGTTACTTAGTTTAGTCGCACTCAAACAATTATCCTGATTCTCCTCACCATCGTCAAGGCTGAGTGCAGGACTCAAACAATCCTCCTGATTCCACAAACCGTCGCCGTTTAGTTTAAGACTGAGTGTGGTTAAAGATGCCATTTTGATCAAACGGTCACGTAGTTTGCATTCCCATCCTTCTCTAATGTTACTATAGTTGAACGTGAGACTAAGAGATGTTAAAGAAGGGCTTCGCAATAAACTTTCCCCAAGGTTTTCTCCCAAATCTGCATCCACGAAGCAGCTGTTGACTGTAAGATCAAGCGTGGTCAGGGATGGATTTTCTGCCAAAGCATCACCTAGACAACGTGTCCACACCTTGGTAACATTACTATCGTTATTGATTGTAAGACTGACTTTTTCTTTTCTTCTATCCTTGACTTTCGTAAAATAAACTCTCAATGCCGCAGAATTATCGGTAGTGATAACAAGAATATCGTTCGACTCACCTGGGCCTATACGCACGTCATATACATTTAACTGAACGCGACTGTTTTTTGAAAGGCTGGAAGGAACAATACCTCCCTCTGTTGTCACCTCGCCCCATAAATTGATGGACAGGGAAGATAGTGTCTTGTTTTCTTCCAGACATCTTGCAATGGAACTAGAAACTTCGCTTGTCAAATTTCCATGCACGTTTAAGGTGAGCACAGTAATGGAGGAAGGTGCCAAGAATTCACAAAGAGCTTCTGCCGCTTCGCATTTCATCTCACCCCAGACGTTAACAGTTAAGTGTTGCTTTACATTTAACCCTTTCCTAACCAGAACAGGATGAAAATAATTATTTGCTACGTTGTTTAAGGTATTTGGATAAAAAAAACAGCTAACCGGGGACTTTTTCGCCAAGCGAAGATTTTCCACAAAA